AGATCTTAAGATATATTAAATCAATAAAATTAGAAAAGGTCATATTATGAATTATCACCTTCTTTTAATAATTTAAAATCTTATATCGATAAGTCCATGCATATATATTCTTACATACTGGACACTTCTAGCTAACACATGAAGCACGAGAAGATTTGAAGTCTACACCACATATATTAGTACATATTATTACCGTTTTTAAATTATATTAATTAATCTTTCCTTCCAATTTTGATGGGACGTGTTGTGAGCACTTGAGTAATAAGCCAGTGTCACTGATCTACATCGATTTTGAAATTGACTTAGATGAAGGCGACGTAGATGAATGAACATATTTACGTCAGTTATGTAAAAACTAACTTAGATGTATGTGTTGATTTAAGTCGGTTATGTAAAAACCGACTTAGATGTATGTGTTGATCTAAGTCGGTTTTCATAAAACACTCTTAGATTAACACACATCTAAGTCGATTTTTGTGTAGAACCGTTGTAGATTATATTTTTTTTAACCGGGTTAATTTTTAAAATAAAACTGACTAAATTATAAATATGTAAAAACTGATTCAATAAAACTAATCCAATTATCCAATGTGAGAGAAGCCACATCAAAATCCAACATAAACCAAAAGAGGCCAATATGAGATCCTTATCATTATAAGAATGACTCAATTACATCATTATCATTATATAATAAATAATACTAAAGAAGCCATATACTAAAAAATCAAGAGAGGCCTATCTGAGATCCAAAAAGAAGAAATTTTCCTTACAAAGAGAAGAGAAGCTCAAAAAAATTAGGTCATACTACATTAGACATGTACTTAGCCGCCTAATGCTAAAATCACATTCACCTATTTCTAAATTTTACATGTAATGATCTACTTCTAAATTTTTCTAAAAAGAAATCCCCAATGAATCTGAATGTCTTCTAATTTGGTTTCCTCTAATAGTGTAGCATCTTCAAAAAGCTGCAACATATATACATCATATATTAGTTACATCATAATAAGCATTAAAAGAAAATAACAATATTTTTAAATGTACCTCACTCCAACCATTTGTTACACCCCCTTCAATTATTTCTGACATCTAATTCATGACATATAGTATCCACATTTGTAATGTCCTTGTTGTTTATAACTCTAAAATGAAAACCAAAATTTATATAGGTTCGAACAGTAGACTATCAACTATAGAATCTAGAAAAATTGATCGTTTTTAACTAATTTAACTATTTTTAGTTCAAAAGTTAATTATACCAAAATTATTAATTCTTTAATGCTATAGCAACTATTTATATTTCAATAAAAAAAAACAACTATTTATATATTTTTTTTGTTTTATTTCATATTATATACCAGTATTCTTGTTCCCATCTTGATTACATGCTGCTGTTTAAAAAATAAAACCAGGAATAAGTTATCTGCTTTAGTAGGATAATGGTTTTATTATCATGGCAAATTATTTTTTTAGTAGTATTTCTATTTTTTTCTTCATATCTATTTTATTTTCACCCCAAACTCATCCCATTATGGGTAGATGAACATCATCGGTGTTCAAGGAGATAGCTTCTAGGAACTCCGTAAAATACAAGACATGCTATTTATGTAATATATGCCCACACAAAAAGAGACCTAGTGCACTAGATGCGTTTCTAGGAACATCATCAGTGTTGAACGACCAACACACCAAGGGCACTATAAATTTGATATTTATTATCTCTTTAGGCCTCATTCTCCTTTTGATAATAATCTGGTTGGCATCATAAATTTATCTTGTTTACACTGGCTGTTACTTTTTATTACTTCAGTCAGTAGTTTGATACTATCCTCTAATTTGCAATCAGATATATGAAATTGGTGGTGGATCTGGAACTTGTGCCAAGGGTATAATGGATTACATAATGTTGAATGCTCCTGCAAAAGTTTATAACAGTATGACTTACACGTACATGCAGCCAATATAATATATATTTTATTATAATTTATAAAGCCAAATTATAATGTTAGACATAATTTTTAGTTATTTTGTTATGATATTGGGCTGTGCTTATATTTTATGTACCTCAATTTTCCATGTAATTCATTTTTCTATGCTACATAATTCTCTCATTAGTAACTAACTTGTATTTAGGGCCATTCTTTAATTTTTGGACTTTTACTTTCTTTGGAAATTAGCTAGCTGTATCCCTTTTGATTTTACTTGATTCTATTATATTCCCAGCTGATTCAGACAGGAGGGTTTGGACCAATTCTACTGGTAGTTTTCCTGTAATTATTCTCTCAACAAGAACTAGATATACTATGTCTTCATAAAAACTTCTCATAATGATCTCTAGAGCTGTGCCTACATGCCAACCAGTTTGATCTATATTCCAAATCAAATTTTCGGTTAACGTTTCATCACAGAATGTGAATCAAGAGGGCACCAAACTTGAATGAAAATGAAACCAAACTTCATTAACAAACTTTGTCCATTCTCATTCCCAAGGCCAGAAAAGGGCTTTTTCCCAAAGTGACATGTTCAATATTGATTAACACCATTCCCATTATCTTAGCTCAAGTTTTTGGGATACCTGATTCTTGTACAAATTACAGGGATTTAGGTAGAGAAGGAGAAAAAGAAAAACAAAATATACTATAAATAAGATTTTCTTGTGTATAATGGTGTTACATAGAAGACAAAACACTAACCCTTTTTATATTAATATTAGACTAGGTAGACTCATAATCCTAATTAAAAAAGAAAACAAATCATGAAATATTATGAAAGATGAAAACCATTTCCCCAGTTCAGAGAGACCATCTAAGATATTCTAAAAGTAGTTTGATTCAATAATGATATTTATGAGATATTTTCAAGATATTCTAGCAATTCTTGACATTGATTATTGCAATTGTTGAAACAAAACAAAAAGGGTAAAAGAGAAACACTGATCCTTAGCATATTTTACTATATACCGCATCAGGGCTAGCTCTAAAAACACAACAATGAGCAAAAAGAAAAGACCTGTTCAAACTAACACCAAATTAGCTTAGACTCTACTACTCTGCAAGGGAAATTGGAACATCTAAACCAGAGCTTTTAGCAGATCTTGTCCACAATTCTTATAGGACTGTTATCAAGTATTGACACTCCATATCTTACAGATTACAGAGGAAACGAAACGTTTTGATTTTATTAAGTTGAACATTCGTCTATGAATAACCTAAAAACTCATTTGTACCGAGCATAAGCCATGACAAGAGCAGAAATTTATATCAAAGGCAAAAAAGAATTTTGGACAAAAAAGATAATCAAAATCAAGACAATCTTAGACACATTTCTTAAGCCAAAAGAAGTGAATAGATCAACTTTCAATTAAGAAATTTACTAATATGCCAAGCTGATCTACATATAGGAATATGATTCCTAACCTGTTGCTGTTGGCTACTGGAGAAAATGTAAGGAGACAATGGCTGGTTAATCCCTAATTTGATTCTTCCACAGACTTCAGTTTTAGTCCCTGCCATTCATGATAAAAAAAAGTGTGCAATGAAAACAGAATCCAGTATATCATTCCTCAAAGATTTACCAAATAAAAAGTCAATGCTAACTTCCACTATGTAGAGCACTCATAGACTTGCTTGATCAAACAATAAGATCAATTGGAGCTCAATAATTAAACTTCAACAAATCCAAGGCCTTTCAAGGTACTCTGGTCCAGGTACTTTTAGCTAACCTTGTGTATGGTTTTAATACCACTTGTTTGGTGCTACTATCCCCGGTTGAAACCCTATCACTTTTTACTCCACCAAATGCTTTTTCAGAGCTGGTCCATCATAAAATGAAAATGAAAAAATAATAGATACATAATTACACATGGATAGTGGACTTGGTTTTTGTTTACATGGAATTAAAAAAGGAAAAAAAAATTAAACTAGCGAGAAAAACCAACAGAAGGAATAAACGAAAAAGATAAAGAGAAATAATGATGCCTCCGTCGAGTAGATGTAGGGTTCCGGCACATGTGGGAGGCGTAAGAAGAAGAACAAGTGTGAGAGCAATGCGAGCGGTGGTTCAGCACATGGCCTCTGCCTTCGTCGAGGTCGAAGGCCGCATCGTCTCCGAGATTGGCCCTGGCCTCCCTGTCCCGTTCGAAACACCTCCGGCCACCGTTACTGAGAAGTCACATGAAATGAAAGAGGTTGAGAGTCCTCGGAGGGCCGTCGCTGAGAGATTGCACGCAAGAATGTGGAGAGAAGTGAGAGAAAACTGAGAGAGAATGTGGGAGAGAACTGAGAACTGGGAGACTGAAGGGCGCGCATGAATTGAGAGAGGACGCGCACGTTAGTTTTAGGTCTCCATCTAAGTCAGTTTTACACAAAAACTGTTGTAGATCACTTAACATCTAAGTCGGTTTTACTATAAACCGTCATAGATATATTTGTGTAGGCTATTCTACTACGGTTATTTTTTAAACCGTCGTAGATTACGTTTATTTTATTTACAAAAATGTCACCGCGTCTTATTTTACATCATTTTTAATAAACTGTCTTAGATTAAGTGACTTAGATGTAGTAATAGCTTCCTACATTACTAGAAATTCATCATGATTAAACAATTCTTGTTTGAGCTCATGCAAGAATGTGAAACTAGGCATAAACAACACCAATAATTCTGCATTATTAGTTCATGGGATGCAAGATAGAGCATCTACAACCAGATTAGATTTTCCAGACCAATATTGAATTGAGTAATCATACTCAGTTAACCTAGCCAAGTACATTTGTTGTTCCAATGTTTGCACAACTTGAGACATCAAATCCTTGAGGTTGTGATGATTTGTAAGAAGAGAGATGTTAAGGCCTCCCACCCTAGCTTGTACCTCAAAACATCCTATGACTATGTTTTTTTTCTCTCCTCAAGAGATCTGATTTGTGAGTCATGTGAATTTCCTTGAACATTAAAAATTAACAATGAAACATAATATAATCAATTATACAACAAAGTATTCCAACTCTTTATTTAAACAGATTTATTTGGTTTTTACAATGGACGACACACTGACATTCCAAATAAAGAGACTTCAGTTGTAAATTAAAATGTAGCACATTGATCATTGGAAAATCCCTTGTCCAGGTGACAATATTCTTTTGGGATCAAATTCAACTTTTCTATCTTCAAAAACTTTCCATTTTGGACCAAAATGTTCCACCCATTCTTGATGTGTTTTGTTACCGGTAAGATATTCTGTGATCTTAATACTAGCATTCTTACAAAATTGTAATATCTGTTGGTTTTGAGCTTGAAATTTTTGCACCCCATCTATATCTAACCCAATTGCGGTATGCAAAAGACTAATTGCATAGAAAACATCTTCTGCTGGTGTAACTGCAGACATCCTATCATCCCACCTACGAATTATTGAGGAAAAAACTCAGTGTACACCTCATATTTGAAGGATAGGTAAAAGAAAGAGAAATATATAGAGAGAAAACCAAAGGAAAGAGAGAAAAAAAATATGATAAATGATATGACCAGAAATTAATGAAAACATATTTGAAAAGAATAAAAGAGATCAAATGAAAGTAATTAAATTGTAAGAGAAATTGGATATAAAAAACATAAGAACTCAATTATCAATATACCATGATTTAGTTTACCCCTCACATATGTATAAAATCATGCAAATAGATTGAAATAGAAAAAGAAATGTCAATATAAAAAAATACTTTTTTTTTGTCTCAAAATAACTAAAGTTTAAATGTATTATTTTTTTAAATAAAATTTTATTAAAATAATTTCACTATCAATAAATACATTATTTTTAATTGTAAAAATCAAAGAATTTGAGAGGACAAATTAAACAAAAATTAATATTACACTAAAAATTAAGAACATAAATTATGTTAGAACTTTGGCTAAAAGCCTAATTTGGTCCCTCATAATAATTAAAAATTTTAATTTGGTCCCACTTTATTTTTTGTTTCAATTTAGTCCCCAATAATTTAAAAACACATCAATGTAGGACTTTCGTCCAAATTTCACAAACAGTGTTAAATGTGGACGACCTGGATGCCACATAGATGCATAGGTGATAAGGTTTCCTCCTCCTTCTTTAATGCATCTAGAACGATCCGTTCTGAAACCAGAACGATCCGTTCTAATTGCATTCGTCGTGTGTTAATTTTGCATCTAGAACGGCCCGTTATTAAACCATCTGGAATTCCAGATGTAAAATTAACACATGACATACATATGAGACCCTTGCCACATGGAAAATTATCACATATTTTTATTTTTTTCCACGTGAAAAATGCCCAAACGACATTAAAAAAATATGGACGGAAGTTCGACATTGTAGTAATTTAAATTATTAGAGACCAAATTGAAACAAAAAATTAAAGTGAAACTAAATTGAAACTTTAAAATATTATATGGGACCAAATTAGATTTTTAGCCTAAAACTTTTTCAAATGTTGAAATTATGGTCATTTTGGAGAAGAGTAATGAATTAGTTATCAAAATAAGGGACGGTTTTTTTTTTCCTCACTAATTTTGGATTTTTTTAGTGACATGTATTTTTTATCGAAAAAACTAGAAAGGAGATAAAAGGGGAGGAGGGGACAGATGATTTAGATAATAAATTGACACTTTTAAAATTGAAATAATCTAATAATTAAACTTACTTGTTTCTGTTCATGGGGTAGATTAAGGAAATTCCGCTACTGATATTTTGCTTGAGAATAATGTCCTTGAATACACCTTCATTAAAATCCGAGATTCGAGATCTTGGGACCCAAATGTTTAGCCAAGGATGAGGAACTTCCCAAAGTCCTTTTGACCTAAGAACTAGCTCATCAGCATGAACTCTGTTCAAAAACTCTTCGTACGACGCATCATTTTCGAACATAAATGTAGGAACAAAATTTAAACCTTTCACCAAGTTTGCAACTTCCTATTCACGAAACAAGAAGATAATTAACTCAGCACAAAGTATGATCTATGGATATATTAATTAAAAATTAGGTTCCTAACAATTTGAGTGAGTTTGACACATATGTTACAGTCTTTTTGGGTTCATGAAAGCAAAATTATTTTCATCAAGAGCATTAATTTGGTCATCACGGTATGATGTATAAAGAAATAGAGTATACCCTTTGTATTTCTTTAATAAATTCATTTATATCGATTAAAATATAAGATAAAAGTTCTTAAAATGGTGAAAAAAAATTTGTTTCAAGTTACCTCATCGACGCGTGCTTGAGAGTTGTTGTCATAGTATTTGACAAGCTCTATGATGTAGATAATGCCATATTGAGTTACCAGGGTAGTTATCCTTTGTTGATCAGAAACTGGATAAAAGGAAAGATCCAATGGTGGTTGATTCAATAGAAGCATACCTTCTACATAATCTGCTGCAGTAACGTCATTCTTTTCACTGAACGAGATTAAATATTCTTGGTCTGTAGAAAATTTAGTGAAGTTGTTGTAAAGTAGGTGTAGCCATTTCACCTGCAAAGTTCCAGTTAAAAAAAATTGAAGTTAGTATACATTTTCGTAAATGTGGTATAAACTGCATGCATGAGTTCTTGGTACAACTTCACCGATAGAGGAATTATACAATGATCAAGAGTTAATAAGAAGCAATGATTTATTGTATTTATGTTTCAATTAATTGACTTATTAATAAAATTGAATCATTTCTTGTTACGGGCATATGTGCTGTTAAAAAAATAGAAGTTGGGAAAGAATTTGCAAATAAAGTAGATAAAGAAATCCTCTAGCTTTAAGTCGGAACCAATCTCTTTAGATTTTGGGTAAGGTTAGATGACAGGCTTATCACCAAGCCAATAATAGCCCTTGGAATTTTTTTTTCCCAGATCAAAGCCCTTGGAATCGAGGTGGATGGGTCCTAAACCCTCACAAGGACTTCATGTTACATCACAAGGACTTACACTTTCAAGTCATTGAATCTTAAATGACATCGGAGTACTACTTATTTCAAGTTGAATTAAATGTCATCTTGTATTAAGATTCTTTTAAGATCTGAATTTGAACCTAATTCAACTTTGTAAATTGGCTTACAAAATTATTATTATTTCTCACTTATTTGTTATATTTTGAGTATATCTTTAATCAATGTAAAATCTCTATATTATTCATCTAAGTTTGGATTTATTTGAGCTTGAGTCGTATGTTACCTTAGACCATGATTAAATCCTCATTTCTCTTGTCTAGGTCTAGCTCTTAATTATTTCAAGGCCAAGTGGATGTCATTGCACATCATAATCTAGGTTTTCATGTTCTTCATTTAGGTTTGAGCCACAATGACTATAGTAAAGTCACAATTGAAATGGGTACATCTTGTCACAATCACAAATATCTCATTCTTCCCTGATCTCACTGTGCCCCACTATGGGGTGGTTATGCATGATAACAGGATGGCATAAATCACACACGAGACAATTAAATTGATGATATAGTTGACTAAAACCTCACGAGACTCATAATATCCAACATTTATAAATAATATATGAAATCACCACCTAGGTATGAGTTATTTTCCCTTACTATCGGAATCCACTAGGGGTGTTGATATTTTTCCCATCATTCAATTCTTCACACCAAAGGATATAGTATATAAGACTACAATAATAATATTGCACAATTCGAGATTTACCCAGAGTCAACATTCATATCAGAAAGTTATTTGATTAATTTTTATAGCTTGGGGATAGAGGTCAAACAATAATTATTACTACTAATCAACTAATTGTTTAATTTATTTTTCTAATTTTTATTTATTAAAAAAGGGGAAAAAAACTTTTAAATTTACGATTGTGACTTGAGAAAAACAATGATGTATGCATGGATATTGTTTTTGTTAATTCCATAAGATATTGTTGGTAGTTTTGCACGGAAAGAAAATATAGGAAGAGCTAGGGGGATGATACTTGCCCTAGTGGGTGCAGGTCCTAGAGGTATTCTGGCTCTTGTTATCACTCCAAATTGACCTAAGCCTCCAAGAACAGCATAAAATATCTCTGAGTTCTTCTCAGTAGAACAAGTCACAAGGTCTCCTTTCCCTGCATAAAACCCACATATATAGATACATTAAAGTTTATACGTGGAAAAAAAAATAAACATGTATCTAACTGCATATGTAAAATGATATAACTTGGGGAGAGGGGAGGAGGGTAAAAAAATGGGGAAGAATGAATTAATTTCCATGTCAACTCAACAGTAAATAATCGTTAATTAGAATTATTTTTTAAAAAATTAAAAATTATTAATAAATTTATTTGAAAGATCAAAACCAAATAATTTAAGTTATATTTTAGGAAAAAAAAATAATTTAAAAACATTCTACCATTAATTAAAATTAGAAGAATGGACAACCATTTCAAACATGAATAAGTAATTTTGTATATATAAATAAAAAAAAATTAAATTGCCTAACTCTGGTGATGTGTCTTTTAATTTATTATTTTTTTTCTTCAAAACAATAGTCATTTTTAGGTTACTAAAAGAATAATTGACTCAAATCGTTGACTTTGAAAACAGAAAAAAAAAATTTCTGTACAGATGCAAGAAAAGATTATAAGGTACTACATATGGCAAGAAAGGCATGCAGGAATGTTAAATAACAGATGTTTGACTGTCTTGAAGAGATTGGTCGACAAAAATGTATACAAAGTATCCCACAGTTTCATTAATTGTGTTTCATATGCCGCACTCTATCTTTGATTTTTTTGACTGTTGAAGAATCTTGATACATATACGGTGAAATCACGCGACAATTACATTTAACTGATTCTTTCATTTGTTTAGTATTAATTCATACTCGGATCTTCATTTGTTGAAAAATTAACCATAAATATTAAGTAGCAGAGATTTGGTGATTATAGTGGAGAATCACAAAATAAAATAATTTCTTCTATCGTTTTGGTCATAATATGAACCACAGGTTCATGCATGTCCCTCTCCCCTATTTCAAACAATTTAAAGAAAATAGTTAGTCTTCTTTTAATTTATATATCACACAGACATTATTTTATTTTATGTTTGAGACTATTGTCGCGAGGTTTTCTCACATACTATCTTATGGGATACATCAGATATACTAAATCTACAATGACAGATTATTCCTATATTAATTAAGAGAATAAACCTCGACTGAGTAATATATTGAACCCATTTTGTCCCTGATAATAAGGATTTCAAATCATATATATAACCTGGTACCTGATTTGTTAAGCTTTTTCTTGAATTATATTAAGGTTAAATTATACTAATTTTATTTTATTGTTTACATTCATTTTGATTTTTTATTTATTAAAATATTTATTTTAGTCATTTATCTTTTATATTTAGATCAACTTTTTTTTAATAATGATCATTTTTAATTTTATTACATTATTTTAAATCAATTTTTAATTGATACGTGAAAATTATAACATTAGATTTATTCATATGAAAATCATGAAATGCAATCAAGGTTTAAATTCAAAATGACTATAAATATTATAAAAATTGTGTAAAAAATATATCTTATGAACAACTAGAAAATAATATATTTTTTAAAAAGAATTAAAAAAATAGTATAATTTTTTTAAAAAAAATTTCAATTTTTATCATGAAAATAACACTTTTGATTTGAACTTTAATTGTGTCCAATAATTTTTATATAAGTAAATCTAATAAGATAGATTTCAAGTTTTGAATTAATTAAAAAGATTCAAAAAGATATAATTAATCTAAATTTAAAAGATAAAAATTAAAAGAATCTTTTTAAAAGATAAAGAATCAAAATAAATTTAAAAAATAATACAAAAGATATCGTTACGTATATATATGCTCTTAATTAAACTTTCAAATCATATAAACAAATACCTAACTTGTCAAGACTTTCCTTGTATTCAATTTAATAACTCGGTCAGAATTTCCCTTTAAACGACTCAACAACGAAAAGTATACTGATGAGGGCTATATATCAAGTTGGCTGTATCTTATTTAGATTTGGGTTGATTCAACAAAATCATTTACGTACGTGAACTTCTTGTAATTTATTAAACATTTTCAAAATGTGTTTTTATAACGTCTCTAGATAAGACTTCAAATACTTAAATATATTTATGGTATTTCTAGTGTATACAGACATATACACATGCTTATATATACATATAATCATTAATAAACTATATATAATAAATATACATATGCATATAATTTACATATAATCAAGTTATATACATATAATAATTAATATTTGATTCATAAAATATTATTAATAAATTATATACTAATTCAATTATTCAGAATGGAATTAGTCTTTTACACAACTGAAAACAATATAATTTAGCATTGCATAGATCTTTAATAGTATTATTAAGATATTAGTCTTTAATGTTTAATCTATTGAGTGAGGGTTAGATACACAAAATATTATGTTTGAACTTATTTGTCATAATTGTGAATAAAAAAAATAATCTATTGAGTGGTAAAATATTTTTGGAAGCAAAATTGAAAAATAAAAATATGAAAAGACACCCAGGTTTTCTGCATATAGCAACTCCGAAAATTATTTTTGATGTAAAATTTTCCCGATAATAGAAAATAATAATTATGTAACGTTTATTTCCAACATACGTTATAATTACATTTTCAAGAATAAAGTCCAAAGGAATACTTTTTTCCATCTACCAAAGATAACTGCAAATTCTGCAATCACAATTTTTGGCTAGGGATCGTATAACTGCAATTTCTATAAAAACGGGTATACTAATTAAGTATTTATATGATAAATTCTAGCATTCTTCTTTTGGCAGGATCCTAGTTTTTTTATGAAAATGTTACATTCATATCTTTGATCATGAGAAAGAAATATAAAAACACTTGCATTTTGTAATATGATGCTCTCTCAACATCTTATGGAGCCGTACAAGTATTTTTGTAACCGAAGGGAAAAAAATTGGAAAGTTTAGATATTTTAAGAATCATAAACAAAATAATTTTTTCACACATTAAAAGCATAAATTCATATCTATACCTATATATAAAAATCATTCTTTATTTTAAAATATACATTATTTTTAACAATTTTAATCTTTTATAGAAATTATACGATCATAATTAATAAATGTTGCAAATTCTTTTTGTATATGTAAAAATTTTATTCATAAAACTGTTATTGAATTACAATAATAGCACACTATTTCTGGGCATTTAAATAGAGTAATTATGGTGGTAAAAAGTGTCTTCTTTTCCATTAGTATTTATAAGGAAAATAAAATTTTCACTTGCTTGAAATTTAATATTGTTAGATTTTGAAAAAAGAAATGAATCAAATATAAAAATATTATATTCAAAATTAAGTTCTTATCCCGAACAATCATTTCATTAAACTTGGAACTAGTATGTTGACTATTAGCCAAACAAGATATTGTATCTCTAGAGATAATTTAAAAGTTTATAACCTTTGTCCTCAAGTAATTAATTATTGTGTGAAAAGTCAATCAATTAACTAAGATATATGTTTGTATAATTTTTTTCAGAATCACTTCTAGGGGAAAAAAAAAACTTTATCATAAAATAAAATAAATTTATAAATAATTAATGGCTTAAATATGTTTTTAGTTTCTCAAATTTAGGATAAGTTTGTCTTTGTTCCCTCAAATTTAAAATTATTGTTTTTAGTCTCTATAATTTCAAAAAAAAATATTATTTTAATTCTTATATTCAAATTTTGTTAAAAAATTTATCAAATATTATTGCATAAAATATACTTACTAGTGTCCATATTAATGAAAATATCACATTAAATTTAATTGATATTGTTTAGCCTCCTTAATTTGTCACTTTCAGATATGTTATTAATAATTTAAAGGACTAAAATAATATTTTTGAAAATTTTAAAGACTAAAAATAACAGTTTCAAATTTGAGGGACTAAAAACAAATTTATCTTAAATTTAAAAGACTAAAAACATCATAATTAATTTATAGATTCTTTTTTTATAATTTCTCTAAAAAAATATACAAATTAATATATGCATATCTAAGATCATAAATTATGCAGGTAATTTATCCAAACAGATTGTAATTACTTACAGAAATTGAGTGAATGATGCATACCTGTAACAACATCCAATTCAAGAACATTAGAGATCTGGGGTCCGAATCGAAAGGCTTGGCCACTGATCCCTGCATTAGATAACGTCCCTCCAACCGTCAAATACAAATAATCAGTCCAAGACATAGGAGTGAGTCCACGTTCAAGAGTTGCATGCAACACATCAATCCACAATTGCTCACCACCCACATCAGCATAACAACCCAATGAACCCTTCCCATCACAATCAGACACCACAATTCGTGACCCATTTTTGGAATTATTGAGGTTAGTCATATTCAGCACCACCCCATCTCGTGTCATGGCTTGTCCAAGAACCGAGTGGCCTTGGCCTCTAGTGGCTATGGTGAAAGGAGAGGGAAGAGAGTTTGAGAAGCTTATCAAGGTCGAGATATCACCAACGGAAAATGGCTCAAACACTGCCCATGGGGTTTTGTGAACTATGTGCCCATAATCGGTTGAGGCTAGTGAGAGGGTTTCAGGGTTACGACTAAACTTTGGGGCTAGGTCTTTGGGTGGTTGGAATTGAGCTTGTGTGTACACTATTCTAGATAGCCATAGCACAAACATCATCATAGCCATTGAAAACACTGAATTCCTGGCCATCTTTTTGAGGACAGAAGATGAGTTGATTTGGTAATGTGCTATATTGCATTGAATTGGGGTCTATATATAGATTAGAGGGAGAGATGGGGAGGAGAATGCCAAATAAGATTGGCCGAGATGTATTCAATGTTGATGAAATGGACTCGTATAATTAATAAAAAGAATTCAAAATATTTGATAAGAGGTCAAAATAATTATCACAATTAAAAATTGCAATTTATTATTTATTATCATTTTTAAAACTTTTTAATATGTTAATTAGAGAGTGGTGAAAATAAATATTATAATTAAAAATCTTCTCTCATTTATTTATTTTTTTTAGAAGAAACAAATTTTATTTCATTCATTACAATATCATAAATATAAGTTGGAATAGGCTTGACCAAATAATTGCTAACGTAAAATCTAAATGTCCTAATTAAAGTCACCTTGTTTGCTTATCTCATGATATCATTCGCCATTGAGTTTGAAATAGAAATTAAAAAAGTAATGTATTTTGTCAAAATAAGATGAATTTAGAGTATAACTTGTACAAATGAGAAGAGGCTAATTGCAGTGATCATTACTTAACTTAATGAGAAATAGTTAACAACATTATGAAATATAATTTTTAAATTTATTAATATCAAGATTACATCATTAGCATTAACTAGATCGATACCCATGCGATATACAATTAATTTATTTTAATAAGTTAAGGTGAAATAATATTTAATTGATTTTATAAATAAAAATTGACAACCATAGTATATATATATATATA